TTTTTTTTTTTTTGAGTTATTTTTATGATTGTCAATTCAGAGATGCCACGTTCCGGACCTGGACGAGCTTCATCAACACGACGTCCAACACTACTTGGGAAGAAGGACAAGGGTAAGGTGTTGATGGAGCATCGAAGGCCATCGCTTGTTGCGCTCGAACCAGAAGTTGCCGTAGGAGGGAATGTACCCGATGATGATATTCGAGTAATGGCCGAGCTCAGCGACAAGGTTGTCGTAGTCTCTCTGTTGAAATGTATAAATGTGTAGGTAGTTGTAAAGTAGTAAAAGTAATATGTTCAAAAAATCGAGTGCTGTCCTCATTTCCTCAGATTTGGGTAGAGGACGAAACAAAAGTAATCGAAATTGAAAAAAAGGTCTGTGTGAATGGAATCCTAGCTGAATTCTCATGGATTGGAATTCTAGCTAAATTACTTTACGTGTACGTTGATCATTTGTTGCGACTTCACCGAACTTTCAATTTTTTTTTCTCAGATCGATGAATTCTACTATGCGGTACGAATTTTCCCGGGACAAGATCCGGCCAGTGTTTGGGTTGGCTGGGTGACACCGAAATATCATTTCTACTCGGAACGTTTCAAAACCGGTGAAGCTGTAAGGCGATGCAAATATCAGGATGCGGATAAACGAGAGAATGATGCCGAATGGTTGGTTGATTTTGGTGCCAAAATCGAAACGATATCTGGACGATTGAATTTGTATTTGTTTCTATTTGCATATTGGGAAAATTCAGGAATATGATAGCTGGAAAGCTGAAATTTTGGAACAGTAGTCCAGATTCCTCTTACTTGGTAGAAATACCTCATCGTGGTCAAGGACATTTTAGATCTTTTAGAAGTTTTTGGTCCTTTAGACACCAACTTTTTAGACATTTTAGTTTTTGAGCCTTGAGATATATGGAATCACACGAGAAGATATTTTTTTTTTCATTTTTTGCACATTGCTGCAGCATGCAATACTTACTTCACATCTTTTTTCGTACGAAGCGTGCGAGCGAGCATCTCAGTAACATCACTGGCATGGAGTACCACGTCGATTGTCCATGCTATCTGTGATTTGATTTTTTGAGTAATTTTTTTCATAGAGCAGTCAAATGCTGCGTTGCAGTTTGGAATATCGCAATTGTTATGTGAAAAATGCAGCAGATTTGTTACATTCGGTGCCAGA